TAGGATTGTGAACAGAAGTTCTTAGCCAGTGACTCATCCCCCAAGCAGAAATTGGAGGCTCTACTTTCTTCCAGGCCCCTCAAGTTCCCTTGTGCTACGGTTAGGATCTGGCCTGTCCCCCAAAGGGCCATGTGCTAAAGGCTTTGTCATCAGTCTGTGGCACTGTGGGAAGTGGAGGAACCTTTAGCAGGTGAGTCGTAGTGGGAGGAAGTTAAGTCCCCTAAAGGGGATGTTTGGAGCCTTTCCTCTCACTTAATCCTACACACACACACACGTGCACATTTTGCTTTCTGGAAGCCATGAGGAGAGCCATTTTGCTCCAACACATGCTTTCCTGCCACCACAGGCCCAAAGCAACAGAACCAGCCAACCATGGACCCATGAACCAAAATAAAGCTTTTCTCCTTTAAATTGATTTATCTCAAGTATTTTATCACAGCAGTGGAAATTGCCTAACACACCTGGTCAGGATCTGTCACTCCAGTGCCTTTTGGTAGCTTGCTGAGTTAAATTGCAAGGGCCAAATAATGTGTCCTTTGATACATAATAATAATGTGTCCTTTGACACATAATAATAATGTGTCCTTTGTGGAGGAATGAAGTTTTGTGAGGGGAGAAAGCTAGCAATTTTGAGATCTGCCACCAGTGATTGGTGGTAAGGGTGGGCAGGATAGGCTGAAATTTGTGTTAGCATTGATTGAGCTGCCAATACCCACAGGACCCCAGGGGACCCCAGGCTAAGGTTGGGCAGCATTGCTGATCACGCTGTAGGAGAATAAGTGAAACCTGAACTCAGGGAGATATTTCTAAGTTGTATGTAATTATTTGCATAGAGACATCGAACTAAAAAGTCAGCTAGTGGGTCACTCAGATAAAGCCAAAAGTTGAGTTCCTACCATATGTTGGCTATGTGGGTAAGGACATAGGAAACAGAGATGAACCAAACATGGCCCTGGCCTCAAGGCTGTCAAGAACTCCATCTCCATTAGGAACATGAAGGACACACTTGGTCTCTGCCCTCAAGGAGTTTGTACTGTGAATTCAGGAAATAGGAAAAGGACCTCCTGGTACATTGTTGAGTCAAGCATAGTTTAGAAAGGTTTTTTTTAGGACAATTTGAAAGCATCCAAAAAATTGAAATATGTCCACTTTTAATTTATAATTCCTCTTTTTAGTATATCTATGCTGGAGAAATATTAGTATAAATATATTTAAAACAATACATTTTCAAAGATGTTTGGCACAATATTATTTATAACAGTAAGAAAGCAAGGGAGGAAGTGATAATAAGTGGAGGGATGGCTGAATATATCAGGTTACATCCACACCACCAGCTACTATGCAGTTATTGTATTGGACTTTACAAAACTGACATTCTGGCTACTTTTGACTTGGCAATGGCAATTTTACGCAGTGAACAAAGACTAGGAGATTATTCATTTCTTCATCTTTCAAATGAAGCTAATAATTCAGTGCTTTACATTGTATAATGCAGTATCACATATAAAGCACCTACTGTGTGACCAGTGCTTGATAACTATTTCCTGATTATCTGTAAATGGAATATAACAATTGTTCACTGGAAGCAAAGAGTGATGCATTAAAATTAAACTCAAAAATTAAAAATAAACTTTGTAGAAAATATACTGTTTTAAAACATATATATGAATACACTGTGTATGTGTGTGTCTGTAAATGCATGCCTAGGAGAAGGATTGAAAGATCTTGCTCCATACTGTTCACACTCACACTGTTCTTAATGGTTAACCCAGAGGAAGGGGAGGCAGGGAGGTAAAGAGGAAATATCTCAGTCAGGTTCAGCCCAGAAGCAGAGTCACTGCAAGAGCATGGCATGTTCACACTTATAAAAGGGCTGGTCTTAAGGAACTGGCCTTATCAACCATGGGGCTGGTCAGGGAGTTTCTGGAGGGCTCTCCTGCTGCCTGGAGTCCAAAGGACAGGTAGTCAAGAAGGGTAAGGAATATAAATCAGGGTAGGGCAAGAGGTTAGTGCCTCCATATAGGAGCTGGAACCTGCGAGAATGGGCTTTAACACGCATCCGTTCTTCTCTCATCTGGCCCTGATGGAAATTTGGCATTGATGGGGTATTAGCACTGATAAAGATCTGGCAGTGGGGGGATCTGGCATTGAAGCAGTAGGTGTCCTGCCCAGGCACATGACATGGAAGTCAGGGGAACGAGAAGAAACAATTGCAGGCTCAACAGCTGTTTCACATGCACGTAAGCCGTGAATCAGCAGATCAACAACAGCATGTGTGAAACACAAATGGCGCTCCCCAAACCTCCATGAGTGTGGCACCCTCTACCCACAGACACACTAGAAAGAGAAACTAGGAAATGCAGTTCAGGCTAACTTAGCTGCCACCTTCCAAAGCTATCAAGGGGAATGTTTCATTTTCCTTTATGTACTTCTGGATTGGTCAAATTATTTTACAATGAGATTATATAATTGTGTTTCTTGTGACTAAAAACAATGGAAAATTTATAGAAGAAAGAGAAAGAAAGAAGGAAAAGGAAAGAAAGAAAAAGAGAGACAGAGATGGAGGGAGGGATATAAAACTCCTCTAGCCAGTGTGGTTTGGAGTTCAGCTGTAGTCAGCAACCTGTTGAGATGAGTGAGAATTTGGTCTTTCTCACTGCTGTATGCCTAGCTCAGCCGCTGTCTCTCTACTGGGCTGCCTTGGTCCCTTCTTCACTGGACTCTCTGCTTCTGCTTTTCCTATGTCAATTTGTCCCCACCTCAGTGTGAGTCATGTTTCAAAATGTTCAAAATGCTGATGTGGGTCTATTTACAGAAGCTCCAGTGGCTCCTCATTGCCTCTAGGATGAAACTATCAATCAGAACTCTGCAGAGTTCTCTGCAGGACTTTGTGAGTCCCCCCACCACCACCCCGCCACACACCTTCAGTGGTCACAGAGCCTTGTGTGTGGTAAAGTTGTCATGCATACAATGGTAATAAAAGTTGGCTATTTACTGATTACCTGCTATGCTTGATATCCTTCTGGGTGCCTTACACACATAGTCACAGGTAATATGCACAGCCCCTCTAAAAGCATTTGCTATTCCTAGTTTACAGACAGGAGACCTTCAGAAACATGTAAAGTCTCATGATAGTATATGGCCCAAGCACGTATGGTGCCTGCCTGGGTCTGATTCTCAGCTCCCAAGCATGACATCTAGCAGTGATGAACTAAACAAATCTTTCTCCTTCTCCTTGTCACACTGTTTTGAGATTGTTGACCTCTCTTTCTCTGGGCAGTATTCCCTAAGAAGACAGGGTTCTGATCTGAGTCCTTGGTATCCATTACCATTACAGCTAGGTAAACACACAACCTTGTCCAAAAGCACCAATGTGCCAGGTGCCAGGTGCTTGATAAATGTTGGAACCCGTCTAGGGGCAACATGGGGCTGTGGACTATGATGGAGGAGGTAATGTGCTGTAATCGCAAGCCCTGATAGAGCCTTCGTGGATGGAGCATGTGAATGGTGGAAGAGAGAACTGGCTCTAGGCAGGGAGGAGGAGCACAGAGACATTCCCCATGGTCTATGGCACAATGCAGATGTGAGTCACATAAGCCATTCATTCAGCTCTGAGTTCCTGACTTCCACGTGCCAGTAATGGAGTAGGTGGTTCCTACTCATCCAGGTTCTTAAACAAAATTTGTGCAGCTCTAGGATCCTCTGCCTACCCAGTGGAGACAATGGATCCCTTTCTCAGCTGCCCTGCCTGGCTGCATGTTGTGCTGTAGTCCCTCCTCCTGTTCCCATCTCTTTGTCACTGAGTTGCCATTTCTAGCTGCCATCATTATCAGTACCCAGTGGGACAACTAGAAATAGAAGCGTCTTATCAACTACTTCTGCAAAAGAAAGGGGGCATTTTTGTTTGTAATTATACTGATACTTTCAATTGGTAGGAGCTTAATGTGTGCCATTCCCCACGTGCCCACACTTTAGTTTCTCCAAGTCCCCATGAGAAAATCCCACTCCAGAGATGAGGATGCTGTGGCACTTGGGGTTGACTTGTCTACAGCCCCACAGTGCCACTGCTTGGAAGGTAGTCCATGGCCCTCCAGAAGGTTCTGGTACCCACATTCAGCCTCCAGGGGCAGACAAATTCAGACCCACCCACTTTTGTGTGCATGTGGTATGGAGAGCCTGTAGCTAAATGTGTACCCCACTACTTGGGGTACACATGAAAAGGGCTACTACTTTTGCAGATGGCTCATGTACCCACCTGCCCACCTGCCAACACCTTCTGCTTTAAAAATTCATTTCAAATGCTCTATGATCGGCAGCATTCAACTGTGTTTCTGGACAATTTTGCCATATGAGTTTTTCCTGAGGCCACCAGGTAGGAAAGTGGCCAAGCAGACTAGAGGAGTCACTGAAGAATAAACTGGAAGGGTCTTTATCCCCTCTTCTCAAGCTTCTTAAGAGAATGTGCTAATAGTTTTATTGGAGCCTTCAGAATGATGACTGATGGACCCATGACCTTGCGATGCTGGAACTTTTGCTACCACACACCACGGTCCTCCATTAGTACTGGCGCCCTCTGATGTCATCAAGGGGAAGAAAAAGTGGGTACTTAGTATTCTGTGATGGAGTTTATAATTATTGCAATTAGTCATTTTCCAGGGCAGTAAGAGTTATCTACATCACCTCATACTCCTTTCCAAGCTCTGTCAACCCAAGGGCACAGATGCTTGATGTCTTTAGACTTTCCAATTTATTTTCTTGCCAGGTATTAAATCAAGGAATGTTAGTCACTGGCTGTCTCAAAGCTTCCTCTTCATCCCTTGGAATCTTTTTCACTGTTCCTTTAGCCTCTACACCCTTTCAAGGATTGGAGTTTGAGCTAAAATAACCCAGAATGTTACCCTAAAAGCTGCTCTCTCCCCCAGCATGGCCCAAAGAACTGCCCTGAGATCATAGGCTGGTGAAATAAACATCTATCTGCTTGTCGCTGTGGTTTGTTTCAGAGCTGGTGATGCTGCTGGAGTGGTGGTCAGGCACAGAGTGCACCATCTATACAGACCCACACGTCTACCCTAAGTATGGAAAGGAAAATGCCATCGTAATTTTGAACCACAAATTTGAAATCGACTTTCTCTGTGGCTGGAGCCTGTCAGAGCGCCTCGGAATCTTAGGGGTAAGTGGCAGGCATGGTCAGGTACCTTACTCATTTCTGTGGGTCAGTACTATAACTTGCCTTTTTTCCTCTTGGTCATTCAGAATTTTCAGAAGAATCTGCAGAGTTTTTTGTTTGTTTTTTTTTTCCAAGATGAAATGTTCTTCAAAAGCTGCTTTTCATTCTTGCTAAGGATCAGGTTCAACATCTTAGAAACAATAGCAATTCAACTATTACTACTGCCATGTATTTTACATTATATACAGTTAGTTTATTTAGCCCTTACACAAACATTTGTGAGTAACTAGATGATAAACTACCTCCCCCCTTTAAAACACTAAGTTATAGAGAGTTTTAATTTCTGCTCAGTGTTACAGAGCTGTGATTGGTTTTAAACTAGTCTGACTTCAGTTCGTATTCTTAATTATTTTACTGCTTGCTTGGCTAGCAGGCACAATTCACCACGAATTTTAATTGCTATAGGCTTAGAAAAAGTTAATTGCTAATTTTTATTGATATAGGCTTAAAAAACATTAAATCCTAAGTAAGAAAGTTTGAATTGCTGAATTTAGAATTAATATTAAATTCTGTTTTTCCCCAATTAGTTTGACTTTTTGCCCATAGCTTGCATGCATTGGAACTGGGTCTCTTCAGTTGACCTTTGCCATTTTTAACACACCAAGGCATATCATGGTTGAACCTGAACCACATAAGTGAGTCAAAGTCATCAAGGGCACTCAGTGATTGCTGGGGAAGCCACAGCATGGATTGGCTCAAGGCAGTAAAGGCCCTGGCAGTTTGCATCACAACTTGGAGATTAGGAAACTGGAAATAGTTCCCTCCAGGCAGACAAGAGAGCTACTCACATCACAGCTGCTCATGGTAGCCTTTGAAGATGGAATCATGGTATTTAGGATATGGAAGATTGATATCACAGAGGACAGATGGGACAGAGGGACTAGAGAATTCAGTGGTCTCATTTTTCCAGGCAGGTAAAAAGAGCCTTTTGCCAGCAGGGTCTCCTTTGTTTTCCTATTTAAAATTCCAGTGTTTTTTTTTTAAATCTCTATGTGCATGTATGTCCAAAATATTTTCAAAACAAAATCAAAAATTCTAACAGAGTGCTTTCCCTTTATCCTTGGGGTGAGTAAGACATTCTGAGGATGCTTGAAACCACAGATAATTCTCAACCCTATAGTCTTGTTTTTTCTATATATCCATACCCATGATAAAGTCTAATCTATAAATAGGCATATGAAATAATTAATAATAACTAATAATAAGAAAAATTTAAAGATATACTGTAATGCAAGTTATTAAATATCTATGAGTTACTTATTTCTGCGGTTTTCTAGTCCACATTTCCAGAATATAGTTGATCACTGATAAGGGAGAACCTCTCAGACAGAGGTCTTCCTTACAATTTTCTAGTTTGTGTTCTCTCCAAGTCAAGACTGCCCTTTAAAATGTCATTGTCACTGATCCCACTGATTATTAGTTACAGGGCCCTCTTCTGTTCTGGGGAAGACACACAGTTTCCTGCATGCTGAAATAGAGCTGTTGCAGAACTCACCTAATGACGTACTGCTGTCTCTGGGACCCTGTGCTCAGGGTGCAGTGCACTGGCAGCTAGTGGCCCCTGGTTTTCTGGGTGGCTTTTGTGGCATTCCTGCTCAGGCATGCAGACCCGTATAGTAGCAAGGCAGGAGTCCCTGTGGCCAGTGGGCCAGCTGGGCTCTAAGGCACCTTCAGACCCCTTCTCTGCCCTTTGCAGCAGTGAGCTCCTGTGCACATGGATGGCCCGCCTCTGACTGTGTCATTTCTAATCCTTATACATTACCATTCACACTTTATAAAGAAAAGAACCTCCACTGGGAAGTGATTTACCCTGGGACAGCAGCTAGTGAGTATGATTTCAAAGTTTCACTCTTCCACACACTCAGGTAGAGTTGAGAAATAAAGCTGGGGCCTGAAGCTCCAGACCTGCCACAGGCAAGAAATGACAGGCTAACTGCAGGGGTACTGGCCTTCTGGCTCCCTCCTGGCTTGAGGTGTGCACAGGGCTGGCTCTGAGGTGGGAGTTGCATTAGGGACAGGTGGAGCAAAAACAGAAGACGGAGGAAGCATGTGGATGTTCCAGAGGCCCTGCTCAGGGGGAGGCAGACACAGGTAAGAGAAAAGGTGAACCCCTGCCATTGCATGAAGAAGTGACACATGAGAGGGAACTCAGAGCTGAGAGGAAACTCCAGCCCTGAGAGGGGAGGCAGAGAGGAACCCAGAACCAGAGAAGGGACTCGGAGCTTCAGAGGTGGGAGCTTCAGGGCTACAGAGGGGATCCAGAGCCAGAGAAGGAGCAGCTATCTTGGAGCTTCTATCCTACTCCCATTTAGGGTGTTTTTTTCTTCCCAGAGCTATCACAGCCCACGGTGACTTTACATCCATCATGAGGTCTGGTGTGGATGTATTCGGGGTTCACCAGAGTGCCCTCCTTCCTGAAGCACTGGGACTTTCCATCCTAACGCTCAGTAACTTAAATGGACACTCAATTTAGAGGATTTCACATAATACCACTATAACCCAAACAAGCGCTGTGTGTGAATATTGCCATCTTGGTTACTGACCCTGTTGAGGATTAAGGAGTTTGGGAAACTCCACTTCAAGATGACGTTTGTGGGACTCAGAACCTTAGCCCATCCCAAAGAATGCCGCTTATTTTCCCAGAACTTGAGATCCCCACTCAGCAGGGCCCTCAGCTTTTCTGGATTCTCACCAAAGTGTTTCCCTGAGAAAGAGGGAGAGCCAAGAGGAGGTGAATGCTTTCTGTTTCCTTCAATTACCAGAGAAATGGCCAGGAACATTGCTATATAGATATTAGAGAAGCAAAATGCTGTCAGAGGGTGGGTGCTGGTAGAGAGGATGAGGGAGCCAAGTTGGAGGAGGCAGAGGAGGAAAGGGAGCAAGACAGGACTTTTTCACGTGCAGGTGAAAGCTACTAGGCTTTGTCCTCCCAGGAGTGTCCTCCCTACCTGGAGTATGGGCTTTGCCACCTCACAGAGGACCTGTGGCCCCCATAGAATAGATGACACCAGATGAGATGATGCAACCTCTTTCCTGAATGACCCAAGCCTCCCACTACCTTAGAAAAGATGAGAATAGCATCTTGTTATATCAGCTGAGCAGCAATGTCTTTTGTCTTCAGTGACCTTCAAAAAGAAACCTTATTCATCTCCACTTTTTCTTTAATAACATATGATACCAAGATCCTTCTGGACTCTTAAGAGATTGCGTTTTACAGAAGAAGAGGGAGAAAAAACCAGAAGTTTCCTGATTAGCATTTTTTTTTTTCCATTTTCACTTGTAACATCCTAAGGGGGGGAAAATGAGTTTAAATGGAAGTAAGTGAAATTTGCAGAAGTGCTTGAACAGGGGTTATTAGGTTGGTTTTGAGGGAAGAGTGATGAGATTCTATTTGAAAAGAGGCTTTCAAGCTTTTAAAGATTCCAAGCCCTCATTGTGTGAATGGCCAATGGTCAGCTTCCAGCCCACCTTGGAGGCTTGGGCTGGCCCACAGCCAGGGCCAGGACTCCAAAGGCTTGGCTTTGGATCTCTAACACATACGAAATCCTTCCCAGAGACAAGGGGGGCTCAGGGACAGCTAAGGGTATGTGCTACCACAGTGCCAAATGAATTGGGACATGCAGGCAAGGAGTCAAGGTTTCTGAGGCCTCAGAACCCCTTTGCTTGTCTTTTTGCTTCAGTATGCTTCGTATGAGAAGGTGAAGCTTGTGCAGTCTCTGGGCCATACAGGTTTATGCTCCAGGAAGGGTACTATTACTGTTATCAGTGTTCCTTGGTTGGGTGGCTTGTGGCTTAGAGATGAATTCGATGCCATCTGGGGTATTTTCTGTAGACTCTTGAAGCTGTATGTCCAAGCTGTCAATGGCTGTGTGATGAACCTCAGACTGAGGAGTTCGGAACCATAACATGCAGACAGTTACCTCAACTCCATCGTCAGGAATCCAGGTGCAACTTAGAGGGTCCTCAGCAAGAATCACCTATGAGGCTGAGTCACTGCCCACCAGGGGAAACAGGATGTGTACACACCCTGCCTCCAAGCTCAACCTCAGGTTGCTGCAGGCCTCTATCTTGCCCACGTGGGCTGAGTCACAGGGTCCCCTGGACATGGCAGCCACTTCCCCCAGGGGTTGCCATGACAGTGGAGCACTCAAGACCAAAGCCACAGCTTAGACAGGATGCCCATCACCTCTATCTGTTTCATGTGTTAGAGGGGGCCAGAGAGGCAAGCCCTTACTCGGGGAGGCAAAGCCAAGACTCTAGGGCCTTCTCAGAGGATGTTTAGTCTGAGACCTTCATTTTCTCCACTTACTAAGCATTATCCAGGGATATAATGTAGTTCAGCTTGGCCTGGACACATGTTGAACTGTTGGCATTTCTTCATGGGGAGAACAGCAGAGATAGGAGATCAGAATTATTTTTCCTGCACAGAAAGGATCCATGTTCTTCCAAGAGCTATGCCTGGCCTTTTTAATTTAAGGATTCCTGGTAATGATTACTATTGATAATTTGTCACCATGTGCACCCAAGGACTGTTTATTGTGTGTTTTCTGTAGGTGCAGGAAGAGAGACACAGTCTTTGCCCCCAAAGGACCCTGCAGTACATGAGGAGTGGTCCAGCAGGGACAAGCATGCACCCCGACTTACAAGGCTGGGGCTCTAAGAACCCCGAACAAAGGTGGACCATCTCCACTGGGGGCAGAAGGTGCGGGTAGGCAGGGGTGGTGCCAACCTACTTCCTCATAGACCAGTGCACTGAGACTCCATGGGCTGTGGGTGTTGACACTTTGTGTGCTGGGGAAAGCCCAAGGGAGAAAAAGTGGGAATTAGACGGGTAGAGAAGGATGGTTTGGAGTCTAGGAAGCTGTGTTTACCAGCCTATGGGGAGGAATGCCAATATTTTAACAACTCCTCTAATATTTTAGTGTTTACCAGCTCCCTAGGCT